ATGCGAGAGTTGATAATATCGGGATAGTTTTTATATACCCTGAGTCTATTTTGTCTTAATAAGAGGTTGATATTAACGGGAGGTTGATATTATCGAGGTTGATATTAACGGGGGTCAAGTGTATATCCATGCGAAATTCCAAAATTAGAAAATTACTAAAAAAAATTAAATTTGGTTTTTTTAATAGTAACCTTATCTATTTACGGATATCTTTGTCTTGTGTTACCCATTTATCCTGCAAGTTATTAAAAGTCATTGATAATTTTCATTGATATTTTGCATAATCCTGGAGGTTCGAGACAACTGCAACGTATAATTGTCATTTTGTTTCGCAATGCAATCCCTAGAGCCAAGTGAAGAAGAAATACCAAGAGTTTCCGTTAAGGACCTCAAGGCAAATTTCGATCGTAATGCTAATCAAACACAAAAGCCAGTAGTTCCAGTGAGACCCCCAAGTCTTGCACCAAAACCTAATTCGTCCAGTTTAAATAATAAAATAGCACCTGTTGTACCTCAAAGACGAGTTAAGGATGATACTGTAAATACTTCGAAACCACCATTACCGCCAAGGAAGCCTCCTTCTTCACATGATAATAATGATAATACTGTAAATACTTCAAAGCCACCTTTACCACCAAGGAAGTCTCCTCCAATAACAAATGATGATAATAATGATGATAAACCTCTGATACCTTCAAGATCCACGAAATCCGGACAAATAGTAAGTAAACTGTTTTTAGTGCCGAATTCACTAATTATTTGTTAAAGATTTAATATTTAATTTATAACGTTCACAAAAGACAAAGGTGTTGGATTCAAAAAAGATTGATCAAGCTCAAAACAAAGTAAAGAGTACTTCACAAGATATGGCGGGGCAAGCTGCAAGACGGGGCATATCGCAGGCATTCGCACAAGGCAAAGGTGAGTTTACTTGTATAATGATAATATTCCTATCAAATTACATTTTTTTATTAATTGTGTAAATATTTAGCTGAATATGGTGAATCAAAATACGGAAAAAAAGTTCCTGATGAATTTTTAAACCGCGCTGAAAAATTGGCTCAAAAGGAAGCTGACAAACAAGCACAAAAAGCTGCAGGCGATGCTTTTGATGATAAAGTGGCAGAATTACGCAAAGAAAATGTATCGGACGCACAAAAGTCGAAATCCAGTAATAATACTAATAATGGATTTACATTCTCAAAAGCGTCCGATATGGTTTCTAATGCATTAACAAAATCAAATTCTTTGAAGCCATCGATTCCTCCAAAGAAAACTAATAATACAGAAATTAAAATTCCTCGTAGACCGATGCAACATAATAATCCTTTCAAAGGTAATTAATCTATCCTAAGAACTTATTTGTAAATTGATCAAAATGTTCAAAAATATTTTTATAATTTGTATTTTGATATGTGATTTATTCTAGAGCGAAACCTATCTCAAGGAATTAAGCCTGATGCGAGAGCACGGTATGAAATTGTCTTTGAAGCAAATAAGGACGATGATGGTTATATTGACGGTGAATATTAGTTTAATTATCTGAATATTAGGATCTTGCCTATATAAGCATTTTTATTTTTATTAGGAGCCGTTGTCAAGGAAATATACGTACGAAGTCGACTGGACAATCAAACTTTATGTAAAATATGGTAAAGATATGCTTATTTTTGTATTTAATTTACGGTATTCAATGCGATCAAAGATATAATATATTTACTTATTTAAGGGAACTTTTGGACACTGATGAAGATGGACGCTTATCCAAAAACGAATTTAGTGTTGGCATGTTTTTGATTGATGAACGGCTAAGAGGAAATCCGGTTCCTGATGAGTTGCCTGAACATTTATTGTACGATTGATAATTTAAAAGCAATAGAGTACTTTTTTTGGGATGAATAAGTTACCTATTTGTAATTTTTTAAATTAATTATATTGTAACTATATTGGATATTAGATATGAATTTGTGTTTAATTATTAATTGAATCAAAAAAAAAACTAATATTGACTTGATTTATTTAGTTCATTGGCATTTTTCTTGTATATTATTCGGATACATCACGTTATTATTAATGGATAGGATTTCGGCGTACTACCGGTAGTATTTTGTACTCAATTGTGACACTACTTAAAGCTAATTATTTACAAATTTAACAAATTAATAAGCTACTAAA